TCCGTTTCATTTTCTATTTTCTTTTCTCCATCATAGGGAGATAATATTGTAACCCGAAACTCCTAAACCCTAAATAGTAGTTTCCATTTCATTTCCATTATCCCAATATTGCCCCAATGTACTTTAGTAGCTTTCCATTTCATTTTCCATTATCCTAAACCCTAAACCCTGGACCCTAAACCCTAAACCCCAAAACCAAAACCCTAAACCCTCAAACCTGCACCCTAAACCCTAAACCCTATAGCCTATATCATACCCCAGTAGAACTCCAGGGTCCAGGCCCAGGCTGCTGTTCGCAGATTTTTTCACACAATTTACTGCCATGTCAGAAGACGTGGTGTAGGGTTTAGGGTTTAGGGTTTAAGGTTTAGGGTTTAAGGTTTAGGGCATCATAGTGCAGAGGAGCCGCCGTATGGGCTATTCAACATCCCTCTAAGCCCTAAACCCCTAAGCCCCAAGCCTTTCAGGCCTCCACCCTAATCTCTAAACCTGACACTCCGATGCTTGGTGCATGAGTGTTCCCTACTACCCCCCCCGGTACTACCCCCCTAGCTTCCCTCTATAATCATTAAGGTTAATTAAGGGGGAACTTAAGGCGGGGGTAGTATAGGGGGGGTAGGTAGCAGGGGACACCCATGATAAGCCATGCTCGAGGAGCTGCTTCAGCTGGGAGTCTGCCACTCAGGCTTTAGGGTCTAGGTGTTAGGGTTTTAGGGTTTAGGGTTCAGGGTCTAGGGTTTCAGGGCTTCGAATTGGCGAGCCCTGGCTTTTAAAGCTTCTGCAACATTCGGCCATGGATGGCCATGAAGTTGATAGTACTGTCACAAACCCCAGCCCCCACAAATCCCAAAATCCCAAACCCAAAAACCTAAACCTTAAACCCCAAGCCCAAAACCCAAAACCGTACAACCTGAGCGCTAAATCCTACGCCCTAAACCCTACAGTGCATGAGCTGACCTTAGGTTTGCCGACCGGGGCATGCTGGGATCTTCTGCGCAGAGTGCGCGGCAGGCACCTACAATCCGCAGGGGACCTGGCGGGGTATTATAGGGTTTTCAAGTTTAGGGCTTATAGGGGCTTCAGGGGTACCATTCTTGGGGGTATGTAGGGGTTATATAGGGAGAGTGGGAAAGAAAATGGAAGCTACCATGTAGGATTTTGGATTTATAGGGGCTAGACAGGTATTATTGGGTTATACAGGGAGAATGGAAAAGAACGTAGAAGCTACCGTTTAGGGCTTAGCATGAACAACCGGCGACCTCTCTTCCATCAGTTCTTGCATTTTTTCGAATCAAGTCGCGGCATGGCTAAATCCAGACGCATGTCACACTCTGCAAAGTAGCTTCCAGGAGTGATCAGGAGTGTTTCAATATCAGAAAAGGGTTGTTTGTCTTTATATGAGCTATAGTTCAAACCCCTAGTATCCCCCTTGATAACCCCTCTAGCAGTCCCCTATATAATCCTTTATACCCCTTGAAGGAGTTGAGACCATGGATCATATGCTGCCAGATCCGCAGCTCTGTGTAGAAGTTAGCTATGTACACGATGCCTTCAAGGCCACAGGGCCCGGAGAACCTCACGGCTTTGCTTCGCACTTAGTTTCCTGGGTGCTCAGTAGCAAATGACTGGGTTGCTGTTAAGGAATTTAAATTAAGTTACCATAATGGGTAGATATAGGAACTTAATATCTTAATATGGTTTCCCCCAGTATAGTATGTAACTTGACTTAAGTTCCTTAACGGCAGCCCAGATGAGGAAGGGCTCTGAGAATTTGGGATTCGCTATTGGTAACGGCTTCCCTTCTTCTGAGAAGCGACGCCGTGTTGTGCAGCTAGTGTGGAAGTTCAAAGTCAGGTATGGCAATGCACTGCGAAGGCTGTGCTGCTGCAGGTTTCGCATGTGCCTCCCCTGCAAGAACAAGCCGACCCAGGGCTACTACACCGCCACGGGCTGGCTCAATGTGCCTCGCCTGTTTCGCGTGGTGAGTCATGGCGGTGGTACACAATGTAAGCTCATGAAGATGATACTTCATGAAGTCCCAGAATAAGGCATAGAGGTACCCTGCTGTGATAGAACAACATATGGAGCCAAGTTCTAGGCTAGCCAAAGTAATGAGCAACGAGGTGGAGCTCATATGATGCTCTAGATCTTCCGTGAAAGTATCTGATCTCAGGAATCCTGCCCCTACGCCTGCCCTTCGGGCTTTCCGCCAGTAGAGGTGAACCCAGATTGCCAGCGCCTCAGTTTGGAAGCCGAGGGTCTTGCCCACAAGATTTTGGAAGATGGGTTAGTGCTCAGGGCTTCCGTTCCGCACGATCAGGGCTTTGATTTGGCATTTCCCGCAAGAGAATGGAGCAGTGAGAATGGTTATGTTCCGGGTATTACAAAACTGTCAAATGGAAAGATCTCAGCACTGTAGGATGTGTTCAGCGCCGGAAGCAGTGTAAACGCGTAACTTGCTGTTACTGTGCAAAGTATGCTTTGTACATCATCACGGTTTCTGATATCAAGCCCTGACACACATACGACATGTCAGCTTGTTAAACTGATAACATATTTTCATTATTGTTGTTACTATTATGCGTCTTATTCAGTCCCCCGAGATTGCAGTCCGCTGGCCAAGGTGATGATCCTTGGAGCTATTACTTTGCTTTCTTTGGAGGAGTGCGGAACTCAGCACGCAGCATGAAGAGGGCTCTGGCGGGCATTTGCTCAGTTGCATCGACGGTTTCAAAGTCATTTTAGATGCATACTCTGTTCGTTTCTATTGAGTCAGACAGAGCTGGGTAGTTTTTGATGGTGGATTTTGTTTCATTCCTCTGTTCCAACAGCTGAAGCCCTTGACTAAAGAGCCCTGAGGCCCTAAACCGATCCCAAGGGACTGTAAGAGAACTCTGTTCAGCCTTTCAAATTCATTCTACTAACTGCAGGCCCCACAGCCTCTGGCCTCAGCTTCCATTCCAACAAATGAAGCCCACGACCGAAGAGCTCCAACCTTCAACCCATCTGAGCAACCAAGTAGATGCGTCTTTTCAGTGAAGTTTTTTGTTATCGACTGTATCTTACTTCCCTCCAAACCCACAAATGCAAATACCCGGTATCCAAGCCAAAGCTTCAGATACAGGTCAGATACAAGGAGCAGGATCTTGCTTGGCCTTACCAGCAGAAGCACCATAATTGATGAGATGAGGTCTGGGGGGTGGCAGTCCTGATCCTTCTGACGGCTGTGCTTTTTGGCCTCCTGGTCTCCGCCAAGAGGGTCCAGACGCGCCGGCGCTTGCAGTGCCTCGGATCTTCAGAAAGTTGCGTTCTGAAATCTTGTAGCCATCGCTAGATCACAAGGTGGGTAGTCTATGAAAGTGGATGACGATGCGTAGCCACCATCATCCACATTCTGCCTTTTTTTACAACAAGCTGTGCCTAACACAGAAAATGGCGATCTCTTTCCCTTGGTGCTGTTGGCAAGTTTTGGTGACCCAGGTGGCTGCAGAAGCAGCGTCACACTGGCCGCCAGTTTGTCGGTCCGGAGCTGAAGCATTTTCAAGTGCCTGACCGGCTACCACCCCATTTTGAGAAACCCGCATGTGTCTCCAAAAATCCTGATGTTTCTCCTTACAGTGTGCATCGTTTGGGCGCCCAAATCCGAAAAACTGCCTGATCACCTGAGGAATGAACGATGAGGCAATGCTTCTCTTCGAGTCTTTGCGGGGCAGGCCCTGGAGGAACTAGAACCTAGGAATCTGTTCAAGCACAAGGTTTGCACAGGCTGTTGGGAAGGAGCGTCTGCGACTATCCGCGATCAAGTCTGCTTGCATTGAGCATTTTAGATGCAAACAGCTCACCCATGCTGCAGGCATCCGCTTGCAGACCTTGACATCGGCGACACCGATGGCACAGTTTCTCAGACAATGGCCGCCGTGAATAGCCTCCGAAGCCGGACTGTGGGCGAATCTCGCCCGTGCGTAACCCAGAATCCCATGCAATCCACGCAATGCAAACTCCACTCGTTGCCGGTATGGCCTTCTCGCAACTAAGGAGATGGTTCCTCGGCTATGCTTGTGGCTCAGATTCAAGCGTTTCTGTGCAGCAGCAGTGCATGATAGCAATTTCCTGCATGGAGCGGAGAGGTTGCGAGCATTTGGCGAAAGATTCGCCACCGCAACCGCCGGGGCTCGGACTTGAAGGAGGCAAGCCATACTCCTCGTCTGCTGGGGGATGCTGAGCGGAGAACATTCTAAAGGCATTTTTGAAAGGCATACGTGAAGGCAAGATCTCACCCGAATCGCTGCAACGCCCACTGTGTAAGCACGTGATGGCAGGCCGTGCCTACCCCAGCACTTTAACTATAAGCTAATTCTTAATCATAGTGCATGCAGTGCATGCTGTTGCTGGTGAAAACGGACGACTACATTACAGCATCCATCCCGTGAGGCACACCTACTGAATGTCGGAGATCTGTGTGGCGCTGAGACCCTGGCATGTCTCCCGACTTTCTCGGCCTTGTGTTCAGACCATTTTCTTGGTATCAACCTGCACATGAAGTCATTTCTTCATGCCTAAGCCGTGGTCCTTGATCTTGTTATTGCATTTTTAGAGGTTGTGGCCTTTAGTCATCCTGTCTGTGGTTACAAACGCTGTGATGGTAACATCCCCTTCTTCTGTTCCGCTCCCCCTCCACCTGCCATTTAAATACCGGGGACACCGCACTCTGTCCTTGGTGTTGGACGGCTTCCTTCAAAGTTGATGATTATTCCCCTGAACCTGCGCCTCAAAACCCTAAACCCAAAGCCCCTAAACCCCTGAGGCCCCATCACAACCAGCGCATCTACCTCCAGGGTGAGAACTCCCCGAGGGATCCCTGGCGCCTCTCGCCTCAGCCTCCCGAGGAGACCCTGGGATCAAAGTTTAGGGTTTAGGGCTCAGGGTTTAGAGCTAAGGGTTTAGGGCTGAGGGTTTAGGGTTTAGGACTTAGGGTTTAGGGTTTTGGGGTTCAGGGTTTGGGGGCTCAGGGTCTAGGGTTCGGGACTGACAGCTGGGGCTAGGTGATACCCCCTACCCACTAGTACTCACTACACACAATAGTCGTAGTTCTCGTATGGTTTCTCAATACTCCGGTCAAAATGTACCACTATCTGTGGGCTACACAAGGGGTAGAGAGTGCTGTGGAAAGTTGTTGCAAGGTTATCACAGTGTGTGTGCAGGGGATATCATGAAGATCATATGGGGATGCGGGGTTTCCATTGTTGCGTTTCATGCAGAGAATGCCTTGGCGCCTTTGCTCCAAATAGCGAATCCTCACAGATATTCCAGAGACAGCATTGAGTTGCTCCCGTCATGCAAATATCTTAGTCACCAGTATTTTATCAACATCATGCCAAATGCCTTGGCACCTAAATTCAAGAGATCAGCAGAGGCCTACATAACCAATGTTTAAACCGTACCCTAAGTGTGTTACAGTTTCTGTAGAATGCAATTGAAGCTTCTGAACACTGAGACTTGGCAAGGCTTGTCTGACGGGCATAGTGGTTACTATGCGCAACCACCCCAAGAGCGGACTGCCATCCAAGACATCCACTGCATAGAGACGACCTCCTGCAGAGCATCAAGTGTGCTTTCAGTATGTAGCCACAGTCAACAGGGTGATGCCAGTGTATATGCTTATCATATCCTACCTTTGCTCTCCTATGCTTATAGTCCCCCTTAAGTAGATAGAATATGGCTTTGGGTATTTGATAATAAGATCCCCATATACCCCATATTCTACCTACTTAAGGGGGACTCTAACAGTTTCATGCCTTGGATGCCTTGGCTTCTGCGGTGATCAGAAGCCTACTTGGATTGTGCTGGCCGGAGAGGAGCTGCGTGGCCTCGTGGACGAAAATCGCTGGGCTCCCAAGTTTCTGAAGGCAACATGCCTGGGAGTCTAAGAGTGACGACTTCAGATTTTTGTTTCGGCTCAATTGCTGCGGGGCAAAGGCCCTCACATGACATACACTCTAGAGCAACGCGCTTTTGTTTACATCTGCCAAAGCCCGATGCTCTGTGAACAGCGGCCTGCGTGGCCCTGCGGCTGAGGATGGGCAGACTTCGCACTGCAGGTGAACTGCCGGTGTTGCGAGAGGTGCGATGCTCACTGACCCTGCAAGCCGTCAGGTCAAAGGTGCTAGACTGGCTACACAGGTCTCATAACTCATACTCTGGAGGAAACGCAGTGCATGTTGCGGCATGGATAGTTTGTCCAAATGACGAACGTAAAGATACAAGACCGATTCCAATTCCGAACGGTGACATCCACCCTGAAGTGCGATACCTGAGTGTGTGTTGGAATCACAGAGCTTGATGCATTGAATGGTCTGGCAGGAGGCCTTGAGATATCCTTCTCAAGTTACAGCTTCCAAATATGAGGAATCCTAGAATGCCTCAAAATGGGAACTTCCCGAAAGTTTCTACAGAAGAATTTCAAAGTCGGGACATGCGGGGACCCAACGTGTTCAAACTTCCTCAGGACCTTACGACTATCATAAACCATAGAGTGCTAACTTTGGGGGCTGGGGCTACCAAACACCTCTGTAGCCCTTAACGCCAAACCCAAAAACCTCTGTAACCCTGAGTCCTACACACTACACCACCAAAAAATCCAAACCCAAAAGCCTCTTATCTGTAAGGATGCGGTCCCAGCTGATGGCTGAGGGCGTCCTCCGTTGGCTCTACCTTCCTGTTGCCGAGTGCCCTCTGCTCATCACAAGGTTTCGGCACACCTCAAAGGACATTTAGGTGCTATGTATTGTATGGGATGATAGAAGGATGATAGGGGGAGCATGCACAATGCAGGGGTCATGATACACCTTTCAAAAAGCCAAATGGAAAACTGGGGCTACATGGGGTTATCTTGTGACTCATAGTAGCTATTAAGGGAACTTGTGCCCCTACCCAGTCCTAAGACCTTCATCTGCAATTCAGATAGTGCGTGAACATGCATTAGGCAAAATTGAGGTCTTCTGTGGTTGCGAAAGATCCGCAGAAGCACGGTGACAGATGCCGTGATAGAAGAAGCGTAAGCCGAACAGACTAGGAGTTGTCCAGACAGAATTAGATGTAGCTTTTGTGGGGTCGGGCGGTGAAAGACTTCGAAAGGGCTGGCTTCTGGGTGAAGGAATGGTGGTCAACTTTATGTTGGGGGTTTGGGTGTAGGCACCCTACCTATCATCTGTCTTTGGGCTTGGGGGTTCTACAGGGACAATATGGAAGAACCACAAAAATCCCAAGATGAGCATGTTTACAATGCCAGCTGATTTTGGGTCAAGGGTTTCGGGGTTTGGGGATACAAAATTGGAATTGGATAGTGACATTTCAGGCAGATGCAAGGGAGCTGGCGTTGGAGTCTGGATGCGGATTTGATTGCATCTGAGTAGTACTTTATTTGGGGATACTATGGTACCCATTATACAGTAAGATTCTATCCTCCTTTTGGGGTATAGTGTATTATGTAAGGAATATAATCTTACTGGGTTCAACCACCAAAAAAAGGCTACTCATTTGGATTCAACTTCAGGCTAATTTGATACCAGGTAGCAAGGCAGGTGGGTGCATCCCTGTAGAACTCCCTGAACCCTAAACCCTAAACCCTTAACCCTAAACCCTAACTTCGGGCATCTCAAAGTCATGGGTTCTTTGTTGGTTTTCTTACACTCAGCTACGTAGCCGGCGCGCTGCATCCCTCAGCTGCCTACAGATCAAGAGCTCTTGGGCGGACGAGATCGTGCGTCTAGAGCCTAAAGTGTCCTAGAGTATCTTTCTCAATTGGGCACACGGGGAGGTACTTCAGGTGGCACCTTCGATTTTCCAGAGCTGCAGATGTGGCAGCCTATGTGTGGTCGCTAAGTGCCTGGCCTCGGCAGAATGGTTTCTGAAATCTAGATTTCGATTTTCAGGCCGTGTGAGGGGCAAACCGGGATTCATAATGATCCTACATCCTACAGGGCGGGAATAGCAATGGATTTTGTACATCATGGTCCCTGTGTTTTGTTTCCGGGCCTAACGGGGCCTCTGATTTGGAGAGGCTCCAATCACCTGCAAAGCTTGACAAGCCTTTGCTTGCAGATTTCTACCTTAACCAGGTCACCCAATGACTGGCAAAAGAAGTTTCCTATAGTATATTGGGATAACGGAAACTACTATTGTATATAAGGGTTATATAGGGATACTGGAAAGAAAATGGAAACTACTATTTAGGGTTTAGGGTTTAGGGTCCCCAGGCTATGTATGGTCCCTAGATAAGGTCCTGACCCTGATTTCAGGGGTCTGCCGGAAACGCATGCAATCCTCTTCCCGACCGAGATCAAGAGTAAGCTATCAGGGAATGACAGCCTTTAAGGAGTTTAGACCCCTAAACCCTAAACCCTCAACAGTAGATTCCATTTTCTTTTCGATTATCCTTACATACACCCTAGTAGCCATGGCCAAGCTTTTGAAAAAGGTAAGGGGACCGTAGAACCTTGAAGAGCTTGTTAGCTCTCAGTTCTTTATCAGCCAGCTCATCTGCCTTTCTCTAGACTCCAATATAGAGTACGATTCTCTTCTCCTTTTGGTCATAGGGTTCTGTGCAAACCATTTTCCTTTTTCTTGGCTTCACAAGCAGAACACACTACTCATGTGAAGTCATCATCTGCAGGCGAAGCCTCCGGAGCCAATGAGAGTCTTTGGTCGCTGAGTGGCGACCTTAGCCAGGT